ATCTCATGTTCAAAATTTCTCATCTTCTGCCCTAGCGGGTGTGGCTCAGTGGATTGAGTGCCAGTCTGCTAACCAAAGGGTCATGGGATTGATTCCCAGTCTAAGGCACATGCCTGGGTTGCAGGTAAGGTCCCCAGTAGGGGGTGCGCAAAAGGCAACCACACATTAATGTTTCTCTCCCTCTCTCTCTCTCCCCCCCTTCCCCTCTCTAAAAAGAAATAAATAAAATCTTTTAAAAAACAAACAAAAAAAATTTCTCATCTTCTTAGGTCTGCCTTCCCTCTCACTCTTTTCTACTGTGAGTTTGTTTCTTCCTTTTTCTTGATTTTAACTAATGGTACCACCACGAACACCCTTGGATAAGCTAGAATAATTAGCCTCACTTCTTCCTCTTTTCCATCCCACACTTCCAAGTGCACAGTGAAGTATATGCTCCGCCTCCCCCTCCCGCCGCCACATGTAGCTCTCAAATCCGCCCTCCCCTCTCCCACTGTTGGTGCCTTAATTCAGTGCTTATCACTTCCTGGCTGCAGTGTGCTCCTTTCTCCACTGCTGTAATGGTCTTTCTAAAATCAATTTTGTCATGCCATCCACCAGTGGCTTCCCATTGTGAGTATAGCGGGAGGCCGAGTGCTTCATAATTCAGTCCCTGCTAACCCTTTGAGTTTCTGAAGACTGCTGTAATCAATTACCACAAAGTTGGCAGTTTCACACAACAGAAATTTCTTCTCTCATAGTTCTGGAGACTGGAAGTTAGAAATCAAGGTGTCAGCAGGGTTGGTTCCTTCTTGAGGGGTCAGAGGGAAAGCCTTTCTTCTAGTTTCTGGTAGTTGCCAGCAACCCTTGGTGGCTGGTAGATTCATTATCACTCCCATCTCTGCCTTCTTCTTCACATAGTTTCTCCCCTTTATGTCTCTGTGTCTTCGTATGGCCTTAGAGGGACATCAGTCACTGGATTAGGGCCCACCCTAATTAAGTATGCCCTCATCTTAACTAATTACATCCTCAAAGACTGTATTTCCAAATAATGTCACATGCTGAGATTCCAGGCAGACCTGAGTTTTGGGAGGATGCCATTCAACCTAGTACATACACCCTTCCAGCCTCAGCTCTGACTACTCCTCGCTGTGGGCTTGCTCATTTCATTTGGTGCCTGGACGGGTGCAAATTCACCAAACAGACAAGGAGAAAAGATTCCAACAAAGGAAAGATGAGGAAAGGTGATGTCCAAAGGGCCACAGAGAAGGTGAAGTTTGAGCTGTCTCAATATAATAATACTTTGTTTTATGTTTGGTTTTTGTTGTTGTTGGTTTTTTTGTTTGTTTTTTGCCTCAGTGTACTTTAAAACATAGCTTAGATATAACCTCTTTTCCAGAGCCTTCCTTGACCTCCCCAAGGACATTTCCTTTTTTTTTTTTTAAGATTTTATTTATTTATTTTTAGAAAGTCAGGAAGGGGGCAGAAAGAGATGGAGAGAAACATACGTTGACTGGTTTGCCTCCTGCACATGTCCTCAACCAGGGACCATACCCACAACCCAGGCATGTGCCCTGACTAGGAATCGAACCAACAACCTTTCGCTTTGCAGGATGATGCCCAGTCCACTGAGCCACAGCAGCCAAGGCCTGAAGGACATTTCTAATCCCTTAGTACCCACATATCTTGTGGCCATCACTTTTATGTTTTGATTGCTTAATCATTAGGTTGTGTTTTCACCTGGCCCGGGGCCAACTGCACCTCTGGGGCCATGCTTTTGGCCCACTACCTAGCACCTGCAAGGTGCCCAGAAGATGTTTTGAATGAATTTACCCATCTGCATTTAATCCCATAAGACGTGACCACATACATTTCAGGGAGGTGTCATTTAGTCCTAGTTGGACAGTTCTTCACCTTAGATGAGGTGGAGGGGATGTGGCCATGGAGGGAGGTCATGCTGGATCCCCTCCAAGGCTCCCTCTGTCTGGGGGTTCTGTTGTTCTGACTACAGCCCCTTTGAAAAAAACACAGAACTCTTTTTAAGGCAGGTAGACTGAAAACTGTGCCAGTGCTTGGTCCCGCACTGCTTTCAGAAGCTTTATTGTCATTGGAAACACTGGTGCCACCACTGGTATCACACAGAACAGCGCAGCCACAGCTTGGAGAGATGCTGAGCGGCTCCGACCTGATCAGGAGGAGACACAGCTGCAAACAAAGCCGTTCCCGTCCAGCAGATGCAGTTGTAAAGCTCAGCGGTTTTTCCTTGTTCCTTATTTGCATAAAAGAATTTTAAAGACTATAATTGAATGCTTTTTTGATGCCTATTTTAGTTGAATTGATTTTAATACCACCATGTTACAGATTCACTGAAAGTCGCCTTTTATTTTCTGATGGGGAAAAAAAGAGGTTTAACTGGAGAAAACGAAGAAATAGGGGCATTCAACTACATTTCTAAGGGATGATCAAGGTACAAAGATATTTTTGGAGAAATCAAACACCCAATATGTAATTCCTTTAAACATTCATTTTTCTAATTACAATAAGCTGTGCCGAACTGCTCATTAGTACTAATTAATACACTAAGTGGGCATGTTAGAAAAATTGCCACAGACTGAAAACAGTCACTTTTTAATTCAGAAGAACAGTTTGAGGTTCAATGTTGTTATTTAAATAGCTTTGAAACAAAAGTGGTCTGTAAAAATATTTCACATCCTCAAGTTAGAAATAGTTCCCTCTGTGATTCCCAAAGAGGGGTGCCTGGCTCTTTGGTTGTGCAAGCCGCGCAAACTCCACGTCACACAGTCGCATTATTATACTAATGGGCGCCCTTCAGAGTGGGCAAGGACTGAAGAAGGAGCTTCTTGCTACAGCCAACCCTCAGCTGTGCAGCCCAAAGTCAGCTAGTCACAGCCTCTTTAGTGTGACGTTGTGTCACAGATTGGGTTAATAGTTCTGAGAAATCCCATCTCATGCCAGAACCCCTATGTGAAATGGCTATATCGGTGAGAGGTCTTTGCAAAGTTCAGAGCCATCTGCGGGATTTCTTTCTTTTCTCTGCAGCAGGGATGCCTAACGTGGGGTCTGTGATGGTAGCAGGGGGTTTGTAACTGGGATAGGAAAACACTCTTCAGCTTTATCTATTATACTCTTCTAACTGAAATTTAACATTAAAAATGCACGTGTGTGTGTGTGTATGCCACAATCCATAGTGGTATTAGCGGCACTTATGACTTTGTTCTCCACAGAAATCACAGATAACTTGAAATACTGTTTCCCCTTTACTACTTCACAGTTCCTGTTGCTAGGCTGTCTATTAGATTCTATCAAGTGCATTAATAAAGAACCACATGCAAAACTGTTTGAAGTATTTTATGCACTTAAAGATACTATTCTCCATGAAAAACAAGAAAAGGTTCAGGAGCTGTCACAGAACCAAGAATACTAGGGAGATATGACAACTACATGTAATGGATCCCCTGGACTGGGTGTTGGAACAGAAAGAAGACAATCATGGGAACACTTGGTAAATCCAAGTAAAAGCATGGAATTTAGATCATAGTAATGTGCCAATGATGAGTTCTTAGTCTTGACAGGTATACCATGGAAATGTAAGATGTTAACAGTGCAGACAGCTGGGTGAGGGGTATTCAAGAACTCTCTGTACCCTCTTTGCTATGGCCCACAACCAGAGACGTGTGATATGGAGGTTCTGTGTCAATTCAGGGCCTCCTCCCTGAGGTTATAACTCCGAGGAACTGTGGGGAGAAAGCATCCAAAGGTAGGGAGGAATATTCCAGAGAAGTAAAATAATTTGCAGTGTCTTATGGTGGAAAAGCTATGGCTTTGGGGTCAAAGGACAGGCTTCATATTCTGGTTCTGTCACCAGCTTTGTGCTCTGCAGCCAGTAAACTGCTGTGGACTCCGTCTTCCCCCTTGCAAAATGCAGCCACCAGTAAAGGCCTTGCCAGTGTCATTGTGAGGACTGAAGGTAACGTGCCCATTTGGTAGCCCTTTGTTGGTTTTAGCGCCTATTACATGCCGAGTACCATGCTAAGCATTTTTCATAAGCTATCTAATTTAATCTTCATAATCCCTGTACTGCGTGACCATTTCATAGATATGGAAACTGAGGGTCAGAGGTGCGATGACCTCTGGACCCTCAGTGGCCTCAGGCCACTAAGCTGAGCTTAAAGTTAGATCTGTGTTGATTGTGGTTCATGGACTTCCTACATCTTCTCTTGAGGCTAAGCCTTTCCTGACCACCCGGCTGATCTGGTTACAGGGTGCTCCTTACTCTCTCCGATTTCGGAGTCCCCTCTTGTTTGTTTTGCACATATACCCACATCTAGATGGCCTCCTGACACTGTTGCCCATGCAGTGGGCTTCTCCCAACTTGAGATTATCCAACTGTGTATGTAAATGAGGGTTTGGGGCTATGCTCAGCTCTGTCCCAATATAGAAGTTTTGTACCTCATTCTGTGCTAACTGCTTATTTCAGTTGTTGGATGGGATGACTAGTAAATCACTGAAGCCAAAACTTTTCGCATTTGTTTTGAGTAAAGTTATGCATTTCTCTGTCATTCTCCCAGATTTCAGAGGAGCTGGGGGGACAGCTCTAAGCTTTAGTGACCTTCCTAAAACCACAGCAAATTAAAAAACAAAACAAAACCTAGCAGAGGCCACTGTGACATTTACCTCTTTTTGGCATTTTGTTGAGGGATTACTGAAAGGGACCTGGGAGTAATTTTATTTTTCTGCTTCCTTCTGTAATTAGAGAGAGGAGACACCTACTGTCACCATATAGTGCCAGTTATTTCCAATTAAAGTCTATTGAAGGGAAGGAGAAACCAGCATCAAGTGAATTAAGCCATTAAGAAGTAGTTACCAGGTGACAAGACTGATTTCCACAAGCAACATGGGCATGCACATTTGTCTCAGAATAAGGAAGCCAGAGCAGCACTTAGCATGGTTAGATGACTTTAGTGGGGGGTTTTGATCCCATGATTTGCTCTCTTGTGTTTCAGTTTTTCCCCTACATCCTGTTACTGGTTGCCATCCTCCTGTACCTGCCCTCCCTGTTCTGGCGTTTTGCAGCTGCTCCACATATTAGCTCAGATTTGAAGTTCATCATGGAAGAACTTGACAAAGTTTACAACCGCGCAATTAAAGCCGCAAAGAGTGCACGTGACCTTGACCAGAGAGATGGTGTCTGCCAAGTTCCTGGTTCTAACGAGAACACAGGGCAAAGGTAACTTAGTCTGCAGCAGGTACCAAGTTGGGTTTTGTAGTACACACATTCTCTGCCCTTTTCCTGCCCATCTGGGCTTCAGATTCACATTGCCAGCAGATGGGGAGCCATTGTCCACTGGGTGACACTTTGTGGGAGCCAGGAATGCACACTCTCCCTAAATTTTATCCCTACCTGTATGTCCCAGCAGTGCCCTCACATCAAGAATCCTCCCCTTGCTGAGTGAAGCATCAGTCTCATCTTCTGCAGTGCCGTGCAGTTCTAGTAGAGGTAGCAGGTTATGGTACTATGTGTGGCTTGCGTGCTTTGACTTCCACCTTAATGGGGAAGCCCGGAGGATTATGAGGCCACTGAGCAAGTGTGAGAGAAGTGAGGAATGAGTAGGCAGAGCCTTGGCTTTTTCACATTCTTCCTTTGGTTCTTGTTATTAGCAATAGCAAAAATATTAATAGCTCTTATTTTAAAAACACTTACTATATCTCAGATACCACATTGAGTTCTCTAAGTACATTATCTGATTGAACCCTCAGAGCATCATTTTCAGCTAAGCACATTTATTTATCTCCCTCACTCCTCATTTTCAGATAAAAACGTTGTCCCCTGGCAATTCGTGGGCAAGATGGGACCTAAATCAGGCCATCAGGCCCACAGCCTGAACCCGCACCCACTCGCAGACGGCTTCCCACTCTTTTCCAGTAGGAAGCGCATGTGTTCCAGTCGGGCTGGAAAATTCTTTTTTACTTTATTCTGCACACTTGAGCAGAAAATTATAGTTTAAAAAAGAGCAGCAGAATAAGAACTATCAGGTTTACTAAACAAACATGTACATTTAATAGGTACCAGATGTTCTAAGAATACTTACAAATAAGTTGTTGAACAAACTAGACCTTTTTTAAAATGTTAAGGGGAACAGTGTTTTATTATTGCTTTTTATTCTTTTTTTTTTAATTATTTGTTTTCTCTTGTACTTAAGTGAAGTTACAAGTAGAAGAGTACAGGAGGGAAGGTGTTTGAGATGTTTAGTGTGATGTTGTTGAAGGTGTTTATGTCTTCGGTATTTGATGGTCTTGGTAAGGGTATAAATTTTTTTTTGTTTTTCTTTTCAGTTTGTGGGAGATACCTGAAAGCCACTTCAAATACCCAATTGTGGAACAGTACTTGAAGACAAAGAAAGATTCTAATACTTTAATTGTCAAGTACATCAGCGGCCGGGTGCTAACACTCACCATTATACTATTAGCATGCGTCTACCTTGGCTATTACGTTAGCCTCTCCTCCCTCTCGGATGAGTTTGTCTGCAGCATCAAATCAGGGATCCTGAGAAACGACAGCACCGTCCCTGATCGGTTTCAGTGCAAACTCATCGCAGTTGGCATCTTCCAGTTGCTCAGTTTCATTAACCTCATGGTTTATGCTCTGCTGGTTCCCGTAGTTGTCTACACACTGTTTGTTCCACTGCGCCAGAAGACAGAAGTTCTCAAAGTGTATGAAATCCTGCCCACTTTTGATGTTCTGCATTTCAAGTCTCAAGGGTACAATGACTTGAGCCTCTACAACCTTTTCTTGGAGGAGAATATAAGTGAACTCAAGTCATACAAGTGTCTTAAGGTACTGGAGAATATTAAAAGCAGTTGTCAGGGCATTGACCCATTGATTGTCCTGATTAACCTCGGCACCGTCAAGATGGATATTATTGATGGCAAAATTCACAAGCAGGCTGAGATGGTGGGAGAGGATCAGGGGAACCAGATGGCAGAGCTCAAAGGTAAGATTAGCTTTCAGGGATTGGCTGAGGGAACCCACAGGGAGCTTTTGCAGCTGCATTTTGTGAATTATTGACAGTCTTTGCCATGTCCACCATTGAGTATTAAACAGTTCTCCTAGTGTGGTCTCAGGTGACACCCTCCAGGACTGGGAGAGAAAGGGAAAGAATTGGGTCTGCCACAAATTTCCGAAGAAGGAATGCATCTGTGCTTTTTGTAGGCTCTTCTCTTTCTTCTTCTCTTTCTTTCTGTTTCATACTCTGCCCCTTGCTCAAGCATTCCTCCTTGCTGTCATTCTTGCTTATTTTTTCTCTTGTTTTACCAGCCTTTCTCCCTGTATCTCTAACCCTTTCATTCTCTGTCTCTTTTAAAAGGGAATGAAAATTTATTGGTTTAATTGTTGCTCTGACCTAACTTCACTGTGCAGTGAAATCTGACTAAGAAGCAATACCTGGGAAGGCAAAGAACATGAAATAGATTTATAGCAGAAGAGAAGTTAGTTCACACTAATGGTTCTTGCTATGTGCCTTCTATCATAGATATTTGTTTTCTATTTTGACAGATTTGAATGTACACACTGAAACTAAAGCAAATAGTGGAGAAGGGAATGCTCGACAGAGACTTCTGGATTCTTCTTGCTGATGATTTTTCCTTTGTGAACTTTAGATCCGTGACTTCTGTGACATGGGATTCATTTTGGCTAAAGCGCCTCTGTCAGGTTTCATCTGGTTTGCAGTAAATGGTTCCTGGTAGTAATAGAACATGACGTATTGAGTCCCTAATGAAAATGATGATGAACAAAATGTGGGAGAACCGCTCGTGAAATCACTTTGAGAAGAAATGCAGAGATTAGTAAACCACAGCAAGTTCTCATCAAATGAAAAGTGGAAAGACTGATCAAATTAAGAGTAGTAGCCCTTTTGGTGCCCCAAACAGACACTTTTCTATCTAGAGGGTGCAATGAGACTTGGAGCTACTGGAAAGCAAGGACTTCAGATTTTTTTTGTCTTGTTTTATGAAGTAATAATAAGCATGGCAGGATACAATTTAATATGGATCTTCTATGTACACTAATGACTCTTGGACAAGAAAAACATTCATTGGCTGTGGACCCAGAGGATACCTGCTCGTGGCCTCATCCTAAACTGGGAGAAATGCCTGTGCCTTGGTCTTGCACACCCTGGTTCTCCCTGTGGTGCTGCTTGGGAGCCTTGGCTAACTGAAACCCTCTGACCACTTTTGGTTTCAGTGTGTTATGAAGGGTCCAGGCCCAAGCACTGCTCTGACTAAAAACTTTATAAGGCAGACTCTAAAGGATATTTAAGTGTGATTTCTAAACAGGGGAGAATGCTTCTAAAAGAGCCGGTGGGGAAATCGGAACATACAGAACAGGTTAATTCAGTCACTTTTCAAGGGTGTTCTTCAGGGCATTCCTCTGTTAGCAGAAGCATTTGAAGCATGGTGTTACTTAAATTAACTAAATGCAGAATGCTTAAAGTGAGGGACATTTTGCCCCTGATCAGAACATATAAATGACATGTGTCATATGGTGTGCTTGGAGCCAGAACAACTTAGTAGTTTACTTTATTTATAATTAAGCACATCTTTTAAAAATTTATTTTAATTTAGAATCATATGGTGTCAGAATTGAGGCCATTTGGGAAGAGCATTCTAACACTGGTGGACAATTATAGAATAAATGTTACCAGTGGGTATATATTATAAATCCAACCATTATTTTGTAAACATTTAAGATAAATTCAGAACATATAAAAACTTCAACCAATTCTGACCGTGTAAATACATCTTAACTATGTATTTTATACAAAATCCTTTAAAATGACATCTGTGGACCTCGTTTTTGTTCTTAAAATGTTAACACATTGTTACAGTGAGTAATCCTCAGGAACCTCAAAGTTTACATATGGCTTTAGGGACAGTTATTGACAAGATCTAATGACTGTTTTGTGAAAAACAAAAGTTATATAAGCTGCTCTTAAGTCTTTCAGAAATTCACAAAAGCAGATTTGTGCATGTGTGTGCGCGTGCGCACACTTCTGTGGTGATTTCTGAAATGGACAGCTAATGATAAATAACCAAGAATGCAATCAGTGCTTTAAATTATTCTTATTACTTGATATTTATTACAATTGAATTGTAGAAATGGCAGTAACCTAAATAACTGATTTTGTTACCTATTTATATCATTGTATCTGAGATGTTTGATCACAATTCTCTACATTCATTACTTTTTATAATTTGAAAAGATTTCTGAAATATATTTTTCTATGATATTTTTTTTCCAAAAAGCCTCATCTTTTCTATAGACTGCCCCTAATTTATATTTTGAAGCAGTAAAAGTGGATACATTATTTAGGACATCAGGGACTCTCTTAAGTCCCATCATGTGTAATCCTTTCATCAGAGTTATAATTGGCCCCTGTTCATTTCCCCCATTCCTACTCTCTGAGCTCCAACAGGGTCTGTGATGTCCTGGACATCACACTAGCCACTGACTACGTGGATACGAGTAAGACAGGTCTTCATCTTTGAGGAGTTCAGAGTCCAGTAAAAGGCAGTGAAGACAGAGGCAGGTACCAAGAAGAAGAGTAGCCACAATAAAAGCCCTTCCAGAAAACTCACAGCGAATGCTTTGTGTTCCTGGGAAACACCATGTTTTTTTTTCCTCTCATAGTTTCTGTTCCTGATGGTTTTGAGAGTCTACTTACAGTTGTTCCCAGAGGCTCTAGTTACATGTTCCTCAGACTGCAGCTTAGACAAAACCGTATCATAGAAGGTGATTTTGAACAGTAAGAGCTCCAGTCATTCCAATCACCTTTCCTACCTTACCTGTCAGGGGGTGGAGGAGACAAGATGGTGGGGCATGTGGAGCTGCCCCGTGCACAACAGCCATGCCTCCAGGAGGCTGATGTGGATATCTGGGCATACATTTCGGCTTAGACAAAAAGAGTTACTAGGAAAGTTAACCCATCCATCCACAGTGAGTTACTGGCTTCGCAGACTGCTTTTGAGAAGCCAGACTCCCAAGGGTGAGGAGTCATTCATTGTTCTATAAAAGGAGACAAACAGATCCTAAATGATCACCCCCAGTACGGCTTGACCTTGTTCCTGGCCCAGGCCTTCCTAGTGAACCAGTAGCAGGTCTCTAAACCAGACTATTAACACTCATGCTCTAGCTGGGACTGGGACCCATCATTCTGAACACTGTGACCAGCTCCGTGTATGATTTTTACCAAGGGACAGGCAGAGACCCTCCAATGCAGAGGTTCTTAAACTTCTGGGAGGTTACAAACTCCCTTGAAAATATTTTTTGAAAGCTGTGGACCTTCTCTTCAGATACGCACAAACACTAAAGAAACCTTCAGGGGTCACAGTCCATGTGCCCAAGGTTAAGCTGTGCTTTAATTGCTGAAGGCCAAGCCACACGGCAGAGAATGGGAGCCCCCGCTGCCATTGTGGAAACACTAAGTCTCAGCTTGTTTATTTTTGAATGAAGCACATTTTGAGTTACTCCAGTCTGACTTCACTTTCTAGAGTCAGACTGGAAATATCGATTACAAGACTGAGTTGAAGGAGGTAGCCTGGTTCGATCAGGCAGTTGGCATTGACCACTGTTCTCTGGCCACCAGGTGTTACTCTATTCCAGATCCAAATCATTGTCCCCTTGCAGCCTCACTGTAATGTGAGGAGGGTGACATAACACATGTAAAATGCTTCGTCCTACTGTGTAGTGGCTCTGTCACAAAGCTAGAAACTTGCATTTGTATGGTGGGTCTTGCTGATGTTCTTGTTTCATTTGTGGCAACAACCTGTTCAATGAATATCCTCTCCCATCCAAGAATGAGCCAAGATGGGACAGCAGGGCACTGGGGGCTTGTTTCTGGGAGAATTAATTCAGCTCTTAGAGGCAGATGAATACATACATTTTTAAATGCATGCATGTTTGGTTTATTTTGCTATTGTCAGTTCAAGGTAAAAAGAAGACCCATGAGCGTGGGAGTTTTTATCCAGTGCTATATGTCAAGCTCCTAAAACAATGACTATCATGTAATAGGCATTCTCAAATATTTGTTGAATGCACGAACACACTGTTAAGTCCTAGTTTGTTGGCAACTGTGATTTGATTTTAAAAGCCAGATGGTTCTCTGAAGGAGAGAGGAGGGGAGGCTCATGTAGCTTCTTGGTGGAGAGGGAACTATTCCTGCAGATGAATAGGTTTCCTCATATTAATAGTGACAGTTAGCTCTTTATTGTGGAGTTAGTCATGACCACTTTCTGAGTTCAAAACAAGTTCAATGTTGCCTCACAGTGATTAGAGAAATTGAACTTTTAAAGGTCCCTGTCTCTGTTATTTTCCAGAATAACCTCATGGAAAGGATTGTTGATTGAAATGTGCAATTATCGGTAGTGGAGGTTTCATCTCCCAGGGCATTGAGATGATCTAGCTCCTTCTTGGCAATCATTGGCTTTGGGTTCTATTTTTCACAAATGAAACCTTTAAAAAAAAAAGCAGGTTGTCAAAGATGATGTGTTATTTATGGAATATCATAATTGTTAATCTGTGGTTGGTTTGTCTTGCCTGCTTTAAATGAAGTGTTTTGTGTTCTTGGTTCTCTTTTTAGTGGTAAAAATACTTTGTCACCTAAAGCATGTAGTTTGATCGGTAATTGTTATTCAAGTTCCTGAAAGTTATAAAAGCTTCTCATGCCTTGAGGGCATGTCCTCTGTCCACCAGAGGAGGAAAATCCTTGTAGCATTCTACAGTGTCACGTGTTCCCTACAAAAATGGAAGCCATCAACTCCTCTTTGACAAGTTGGCTTTTTAAAAGCATCATAATTACAATTTAGTAATGTTTCTAGGTGTAATTATATTCTTTTTAATGACTAAATTTCTTCAAAACTTTTAAAAGAAAAATGTGCATATTCTTTTTGCAGTGTCATTTGGTAAGAAGGATGGCTTCTATTCCACAAAAAAAGTCAAAAGATGAGAACATATCATGGTTTGGAAAGTGATCCTTAAAAACAGCACAAGCAATTTGAAAGCTCTGTGTTTCGGTGATTTTCACTATTGTATTTCATGTTTCCATATAAGTCACTTGCCCAAGATCTGCATTCTAATCATGCTGACTTCCTCTAAGGAGGGATAAAAGGCTAAAATCAAGGCTGGTGTTCATAGATAAAGATGAAACAGTGTTTTGGTTCTGCATTATTATGTCCACCTAAATAAAATTTCTCTGAGTAATGAAAAATGTGTCTGAATATTCCTTGCCTTCTTTTCAGAGAAGATGTTACACATGAGTCCTGAAATGTCTTGAGGCTCATTCCTGTCTTTTGGATACAACAGATTCAGTAGGCTTCATGGTACTTAACTAAAATCAGCTGGCAGTAATTAAAGGAAGAAAGCCTTGATTAAGGGCCCACAGATTCTAGCATTTCTAAAGCAGAAATCACATGCTTTCTGATTGGGGATTGTTTGCCTGGGCTTGGAGAGGAAGGAGTACAGGCTATATGCTTCGAGACATTGTTGGCCTGCCCACTTCGCTCATTGCTTCCTCCTGCTCGCCAGCTGTTTCCTAGCATGGCATTCCAGGAGCCTTGGAAGTTGTATTGTTTTACATCAT